GTTTTTTTGGGGGGGGGGGGGGAGCTGGTTTAGGAAAAAAAAATTCCTTTTTTAAATGTATTTTTTTTAAAATACATGTGTCAAGTTTTTATGGCGAAATTACACGTGACATTTTTTAATTGGTTTATTTGACATGTCATTGGCACGGGTAACTCACGCATAGGTTGTGCTGCACTCGGGGTGTTTACTTGATCTACTTAATAGCCATTTGAAGTGTCAAAACAAAAAAGGGCTCAGTTATAATGTTTATTTGATCGTTGAGGATAACTTATATGAGTTGTTTATGTATTTTGCCTTTAAAAAATAAAAATAAAAATCAAACGTGAACATATTTATTGAGATGAAGTTGTATTGAGTTCTGTCTTTTACATCTCAAGGGAGTTGAAAATAAGTGCCTATGTCAATTAAACAAAGTGAAATAAATAAGAGGTATTGTAAGCAAATAAATAAATAAATAAGAGGTAAGAACATGAAGAAAACAATTGTTAGATCATGACATGGAATTTATGAGCATAAAGCTTTAATTTGAGTAAATATTTGACTCAGTCAAAGCTTGAAGATGCGAGTTGTGAGAAGCAAATTGTGGTTAGAATTATCGCGTACCTCGTACTTCAATCTCGACTAGTTTCACTTTAATTTGAGTCGGCTATGTCCGATCTTTCAATCATCTAAGAAGAAATCACCAATGTTAAAATAATAAATGTGTTAGAATCACAATTTAGCTTTACCCCGTCCCAAACTCGATTTCGGATTTAAATATGAGTATTTTTAGCTACGAAAATGAGTTACTTTAGGAGAATATCTAACTTGCCAAAAGTAAGAAAGAGAGGTAATATGGTAAAAATAGCACGGTATAGCCAGTTTTCGGACTGATCATTCAAAAATAGCAGTATTTATCAAGTCAATGAAAAATAGCCACTATTTTGCTGCAACATAGACCGGTCCAGCATAATATACTGGAGTTCGATGCACTTGTGTATGAACTCCAACATATTATGTTGGACCGGTATACTTTGCTGGATCCAGTATAATATACTGGAGAATAGAGCGCTGGTGCTCCAAACTCCAATATATTATACTGGACTTGTATACTTGCTGAAACTCCAGTATATTATGCTGGAATTCTAGTGTACTTATGCTGGAACTCCATCATATTATGCTGGAGTTTTAGCATACTTATCCTGGATACTGGAGTTCAAGTATACTTATGCTTGAACTCCAACATATTATACTGGCGTATTTTTCGGATTTTGAACAGTGTTTTCGCTCAGATTTATCTTTACATGAAAAGTGGCTAAATTTCGATTACTTTTGAAACTGGACTATTTTTGAACGACCAGTTGTAAATCTGGCTATTTTTTAATTTCACCCGGTAATATGTGGAGATAACATCTTATAGCCATTTTTAAGCATGTTGTTTAAAATATATCAATAATTTATAATATATTTAAAGATTAGTCAATTCGTTCAAACTTCAGGACACAACATCAAGCTTGAACCTTGAAAACTTCAGGACACTTCAGGACATCGCGTCCTAAAGTTCGAACATTGTGTTGATAAATTAGAATTTTATGTTTTGACTTTTAAATTAGCAGTTCAAAAATTCATGACACTTAGTCCTGTATTTCAAATTAGCAATTCAGGTCAAGACACTTAGTCTTGATTTTCAAATTAATAGCTCAAAATTTAGCACACTAAGTCCTGAATTCCAAATTAGCAACTAAAAATTTAGGATACAAAAAATCATGATAGTTACCTGAAGTTTGGACTAATTGGCTAATCTTTAAATACATAGTAAATTGTGAATATTTTTTAAATAACATGCTTAAAAGTGGTTGCTATTGCACTTTGCCAGTAGGCTTGTCAGTACCGGGCTGGAGCATATATGGGCTAGGCCAACAACCCATTTAACACGGGATATTTACACAAATACCAAGCCAGATTCACTATTTTTTCGTGGAAATGACACTAGTAAGCATGATGTTTAAAATAGGGAAAATGCATAAATACCCCCTCAACCTATGAACGAAGTTCCAACTACGCACTTTTTCTTTATGGGAATCCTATTACTCTCCTAAACTATTCTAAAATGAAATAAATATCTCCTTGAAACGTCATAACCAGACGTTTCTTGGGAGGTGAAACGCACTCGCTAGCCAATGTATATTTTGTCACCCTTTTATTTTCTCTCTCATTTTGTTCCTTATTTTGATATATTATTCTATTCTTTCATGGCTAGTAGCAACATGACAACAATGAAGTCCAAGATTTTAATTCTCCGATATCAATTTCGGTCAAAAAATAATATTTACGTAATGATAATTTCTTTGGTCGTCGTTGCCGCAGAATTTTTAAGAAATGAATTGTATATTTTCTTAAAGTTACTGTCATAATTAATTAAGTGTAATATCCAATAAAAAGATGACACGTGTACATATAATTAAATTTAAATTTATTTTCTTGCTAATGCAAAGATAAGAATGAACCCATAAAAATTTGAGGAAAAAAATACTAATCTAAAATTAAAAAATAAATTTTCAAAGGAATGGTATTGTAAATAGAGCTCAATACCTTTTAATGGTGGCTGTCATCTCGGGAAGAAGGAAAAAATGTAAAAGACAAAAGATTAAAAAAAAAAAAAAAAAGAGAAAGACTAGTAAGTAAATTTTTGGGCTTCTCACTCTCTCAAATAAAGTAAAACACACAC